AACATGGAAAATGTTGAACTTCAATTCCATATACAGGGAAATCATCTCCTTTAAAAAACAATAAATATTAATCAATAAAGACATAGTTATGAACTCAAATTTTCGAAAGAGGTACATTAAGGTATATTTAATATAATTCTGCTCATAAATAGCAAGCAAGCAAAATCAATAATAGAATGAATACTTAGTAGCTATATATCTTACACAAGGCAAGAAACGACACTGGATGAAAGTATCTGGAATATTAACCCTCTGGACTATTAACATGGCTTTCAATTTTTCAGACAACCATGGTTAGGAAATGGTGATAGAAAATCGACCTGTCATTTATTTTTGTTCCCAACTGTAGCACCGACTCCCGTTTACTAAATCCGATTCATAATTCCATAAAAATAAACAATCAAAGGACCATATGGAAACAGTATGTAAAAATGGAAACATTTGTACAAGGCCTAACTTTTGTATATTTTGGTTTCTTTTGTAGTTTGGCTATCCTATGTGTGACCTCTTATATTTTGATACTTCTCTGCCAATTGTTATTTTTGAAAAACAAAAGTTAGGCCTTGTACATATGTTTTTATTTTTTCATATACTGCAATATGATCATTAGATTGCTTCTTTTTTTAATTCAAAGTACTCAATAGAATTTTGAATCAGACTTTACTAATACACACGTATTGTAATATAGAGTACAGGGAGGCAATGTAGTCCAAGTAGGTAGATGTCGGACACTCGATGTATCCAGTCATTCCGACTATTACCTGCATGGACGACATTATGCTCTATATTATGATAATTATTAGTAATCGGAAAAAATTACACATTCTTTAAGCCATGGGATTTCAATCATTCTAGTTGAAAGCCCATGTTTTAGCATAACAAACTGAATGATTCCAAGTTTGGAAGATTAAAGGGATATTGCGATTTATAGAGGATAAAATGGTTTAAGGCGACGCTATATCAAATTAAAAGTACAAAAAATGACTGCCATATTTTTTTGATAAAGACACATGTTTTTAAAATCTGTTTACCTTGTATATGAATTGTGTATCTTGACTAATGAAACATGTCAAAGTTAACATCACACATAAATGCATTTTTCCAAACTATGAATTGGAGGTGCATGGATCCCCAAAGCTAGCATGAAGAGTGCGAAGTGAGGCTAATTTTTGAAAGTTTCAAGGAGTAGCCTTGCAACAGTCACATATTTGCAAGAGTCTAAAATTTCCACAAATCATCTTACCTTTCCCAGGAACAACGAAGGAGCATGAAAATGTGCATTGTTAGAGTATAATAAAGCTCAAACCATTGTAAATTCTAAATATTTCATGTCCACATTTTGTTTGCCAGAACTACTTCTAGACTTCCTGATTAATCCTCATGCAAGTTTTGTGACTACACCAAGTGGCATGGATTATCACTTGTATGTTTTATCTATTACAGTGTAATTATCATGATAGATACATGATAGAGGCTTTATGAATGATAAACAATGGAAACATGAATGAAGATAACTCTGGACTAAAAAATAGTTCCAGGAAACAAAATGGTGGACATGAAATATTTAGAATTCACAATGGTTTGAGCTTTATTATACTCTAACAATGCAAGAAGTACACTTTTCGTGCTCCTTCGTTGTTCCTTGGTAAGGTAAGACTATATCTGGAAATTTTGAATTCTTGCAAATGTGTGTCTGTTGCAAGGCTACTCCTTGAAACTTTCAAAAAATAGCCTCACTTCGCACTCTTCATGCTAGCTTTTGGGAGCCATACACCTCCAATTCATAGTTATGAAAAATGCGTTTAAATGTGAGGTTTTCTTTTATGTGTCTCTTTAGTCAGGAAATGCATTCACATACAAGGAAAACAGTATATACAAAATCTTCTGACTTTATCAAAAAAATATGGCTCCCATGTTTTTGTACTTTTGATTAACTTAAATGTCACCTTAAAATAACACTTTTCTAGCTATAGACGTGATTTCCTTGTCTAAATACCTTCTTTGGTGAACCTTGGTAGACCGGAATTCGAGTAAATGGTGATAATGTTCTTTTTATGAAGCGGGAAAGTCAAAACAGTACTAATAGAATTCATAGTAAGCATTCAAAGATCATTTAGAAGCATTCAAAATTGAATCCATGGCAAAATTGAAATGACTGAAATCTGTATACGTCTTCCTCTTCGTCTTCTTTGAGAACGTCACAGAACACTTCTGGTTTAGTAATCTATGATTTTATTGATCAATAAATATTTTTTATGAATTTGTCCATTATCTGCTTAAATATGGTATGTATGTTTGTGTTGTTTGTTAATCACAAAATAGGTAGGGTAAAGAATGTGTCAAAGTCGTTTGATCTCATCTCAGAAGCAATATTTTGTCATTTCTGTAGCCTAGAATTCCTTTAATATGAGCCTTCGAATAAAATCATGCCACTCCAAGAAGGTAACCGTTACAAATTCTGACCATACCGATACACTTACGTAAAAAAATTAATATTTTTAAAAAACACTGATTTTTGAACCCAAATTGAATTTTTTCAAACATTCAACTCCAGAATACTTCATCATTCAGATAAACGTAAGATTTAATTTATTGTTGAAGGTACACCTACATATATCCTGTATATATGTACATACACATTAGTATTTACAATACCTTAATATTTCTTCAAACCATGAAAAAACTACCTTATCGATGTCTAAAACCAGGTGATGTGAACCTCCTAGATCAGTCATTCTGATTGGTCGTTCATAACGAGACTCAGACACTTCCGTGAAGAACCCGGAAGTTAAGTTAGTCAAAAGACATTTGCGAATTTCGAGTACTGTTTGCACTGGTAGAGAGAGGGGGTGGCCTAGGTTTAACTTCTTCCCGTGTATATAAAGTAGGTTTAACTTCTTCCCGTGTATATAAAGCGGATATCTTATGGCACTTCTTCCCGTGTATACAGTAATATGAGAACCTATGTAAATTTCAAACATAAAAATTTATTCATCTTGAAGAATATCTCATTAGAGTCTAGTCTACTGAAAATAACATTGAAAAAAGAAAATTATTCAATAAACACAACTGGCCTGATATATTCTCAATGAACCTTTCCGACAGTTTGGTCTGATATATGAACAGCCTATTGTTTGGATTGTATTTTTTGTTGAAAACCAGGCAAAGCTGCAATATATTTATAAGTTTTTCATAAATGATGAACCTGTTTACCAAAACACGCATTTTGATTGGTTGACCTATTGAGTGAGATTATGAAGTGAGATGATGAAGTGTAACCTTTACTAAAGTCTTTGGTTATGGGGGGGGGCGGTGCGATCTATGCAAAAAACATTGTAAACAGTTTTTGATATGTTAATTTAATTATATTGGTGTGTGAATTGCTGGGTACAAATGAACCTTTCCGACAGTTTGGTCTGATATATGAACAGCCTATTGTTTGGATTGGATTTTTTGTTGAAAACCAGGCAAAGCTGCAATAGTAAAGTATTTATAAGTTTTTCATAAATGATGAACCTGTTTACAAAAACTTTTTCTAAACTGTATAGGTGCTTTTTGATTACTCTTACACGCATTTTGATTGGTTGACCTATTGAGTGAGATTATGAAGTGAGATGATGAAGTGGAACCATTACTAAAGTCTGACATCTGGTTGTGCTGGGTTGTCAGTATTACTGAATCCTTTGTAACATCTGGCAGACAGATTCATACAATGGCACAATGGACAATTGGTCTGAAGTCTTTCCTGACATCTGATTCCCAATTTTATATTTATCACTTGTGCTTGTTATTTAGGCCATTACATCAACCTAATATAAGCTTATACCACAGAGGTGCTTAGTACACATCGGCTGCAACACTTACAACCCATCTGTCGTGTTTGGAAACTGTGATATTCAAAAAGTGGATACTCTGATATGTTATTTAAAAAGTGGATACTGTCATATCATTGAAACTGTATGACTTGTGATATTTGAAAACTGGAAAACTGTGATATAACCAAAATAGGAGACAAAAATAGGAGTTTGAAAACATGCGTCATGTCCTCACATTGTAAATCTACCAGAAGAGGCATTTACCATTGCCCTCAGTGCAATAAGCAATATGCCAATAGGCATAAACCTAAAGAATGTGTAAAATGTTTGTTTAACATTGGTGGGCAAAGTAAGCCCCATAGCGATGGTGTCAAATCGACACCAGTATGCCAACTGGACGATGGAACATTTTCTGTCAAAACCACCCCAAGAGGTCCTGACAATAGGACAATTGTTCAGCACCTGAAAAATGGTTCGTTTTTTTGCCATCATGCCAAATGTCTGAACACTAGGACAACATCTATCCTATCAAGGTGTGAGTTCACATGCAGCCATGTTATATCTGTCAAAACCGCATCAAAAGATATTCCACGGGCCATAGCTTTTCCACCACTATCAAAAGACCCACCATTTCCACTTGCCACCAACATGTTAACACAGTACAGAAAAGTCACCAAGGTGTTCCAGGTGAATAGGACATCCTTTGTTGTGGTTGGCGAAGCAAATCAGACCAACACTGGTAAGGGATAGTTTAATAATATCTACATCATGAATCGTATTAAATCAGTTGTATCACCGTAGATACACTTTTTTTGGCTACCATTTTAATTTGACGGATTTGCCGATTGATAAAATGGGCCAAATGAAAAATCAGGCAATTTTCAGATCTACAGTAATTTAATAATAAATCTTATACATCAAATAAGATGGAACACCCCCCCCCCCACAACCAAATGTATAGTGCCTTTCGAAAAAAGAACAATTGATTGAGTGCCAGAAATGTTTTAACTGAATTGTATGGGTCAGTTTAAGGTCATGTTTATTGAAATATGTTAATTTTGTGGTCATCTTCAACAATGAATGTTGGTCTTATTTTTGTGTTGTTGAAAGTAAATTAATGTTTGAATTGCCTATTACAGGGTTAAACCTTTAATGCATTTAAAAACATAAACCGCAATATTCATGTACACTCTTTGAAAAACATTAAGGATATTGGCTCTTTTGAAATGTGGGATTGTGTGATCTATTGGCAGTTTATATCAAAAATTCAAATGAACTATAGTCTGTGTAAGTTGGTCAAATAAGATGGATGGACAGTCCCCCAAATTGTAAGCTATATTGTGTGATTGGTGATCCTCTATAACTTATACCTGGGTGTGATAAGTTGATTGCGTCAAGTTGCATTGTAAAAAAGTATAATTTCGAGTACAAAACAAGTATAATTCCAAATCCTGTGTGACATCATCCCTTTAAATAGCTATATCTCTATATGATTACTCGGTCTATTCGCCTTCAGTCTATACAGTCAATACTTTCCCTTGGATTAAAATTCACATATCAATGCTCCCATTAATAACCTATTTATATTCTATAATTCTTCTTTTTTCAGGAGTTTTTAAGAGGTTTGCACTATTTACCTCTAATGACTTACAGTGTACATTCCTTTATTTTTAATAGGATATTTGAATTCAACGAAAAGTTATCTAAAATCATAACTTTGATTTAGTAGTTATGTCATTTAAATCATTTTCCATGACATTTTTAAATCTCCATAGAGGTCAGGTGCATTGCTAAAATACATTAAAACCTTGGTTTATTCGTATGACAAACAATATTTTCATCTTTAATCACAATATGTACATTGACAGGGTCATCCAATAGACTAAGTATGCCATTCAAGTTGCAGACAGCTTCAACCAATACTTGTTGATAAATCATTACATTAAGTGTCTATTGCAAGTTTCTATAAAAAGAATGAAGATCTGGCCTAAGAAAATCAAAAACAAACGAGGCTTTATTCATCTATTCTTGTATTTTTAGGTGGCTATTTTCACGTCCGTCGAAAAAACGAATCTTACGAATGTGATTCGAGACCCTGTCGCACTGCTGATGCACGTTCTCGTCATTGCTGTGTGCACATTCATGCAGTGAATGCCTCCACCAAGGAACATTCGAAGCTCACTCTACCATCTCCTCTAAAAGTGGTAAAACGTTCACCCAATGCTTCTGCCAGCATAAGAATTGCCATGTGTCAGGAGATTCCTGAGGACATTACTTCAATTTTGAAGATAGTAACTAACTGCAACCTGAAAAGTGAAATGGCCAAGTCATTCCAAACCACCAATCTCACTGATGTGTGGCCAAGCCTTTTTACGCCTCCACCATTTTGCCCAATGTGCAAAGATAGCACCTGTACCAACCCACAAATGCCGAATGGGACAAATGGCGAATACTTTTTAGTCACCACATCACTTGTTCTTAAAGTGGCCATTCAAGCGCGTGTATGTCATTCTTGCAGTGGAACTGTAGCAGTTGATGCAAATAAGATAGGTAATAATTTTAAATACCAGCCTCTTATTATATACAGGTTGTCATTTCAATATGTTTTACCCAATTCCACATAATCTTCCATAACATTTTTGCCTGCATGATATCTGAAATGTTCTTTAGCAACTCTACCAAAAGTTTCAAATGACTAGCTCAACTATACTCATTTTTATGCAAAAACGTTATTACTCTTGAAATTAATGGATGGAACATATCTATTTGACACACTGTAGATCACAGATAACTTATACACTAGCTAAATAGTTTATTGAGCCCAGCCATATGGAAACTGGTTTTATCCCGAAAATTAAAATTGTGCTACAGATCCGAAAATGTATGCCAAGTACACACAGGCGTACTGTTATTAGAGAAAAATTTTGATGACAAACATACAAATAGAAATCTGTTGGATCCTGGTATTTAAGTGTTTATATGTATGGTTATTTACTGTAGATATATACTAACGAAGACATAATTCAGGATTAAGGTTGATGTGTATTTTTATTCCAAACATAATTTCAAAGATGGCGGCACACATGAAACGCATGGCCAAACTCAAACACAATCACAATCAAATATGATGTATCTAAAATATCTCCCTTTCCTAAAGAAAAGATTTGTTGCTACCAAATGTTTAACAAGATATTGCTGTATATAAACTTTATAATGAAAAATAGATGGCAGCGGTGCATTTTGTTAAAAGTTGTACAATATTAACATTTGTAATTATGATGTCTGTCTGTCTGTCCGTGCGATTACTCAAATACTGGTTGACGGATTTGATTCAATTCAATTTCAAAATGGCGGCCATTTTTCGTTAAAGAACATAATCTTTGATAACTCATATACCAGTGAACAGATTTGTTAATTTGGTTCAAATTTTATATGATGATGGCTAACGACACAGTAGCTCTGCTCAAGAGGGAATTTTCAACATGGCCACTTACAATCAAAATTTTGTTTGTACGGTGGGATTTGCTACTCCTACTCTGCGGAGTTGCTGTTTTTCTAGTTCCACTTTAACTGGCTCATAAGTGATCAGTTTATGAAAACAGTACAAAGAATACAAATAGTCATGAATCAGCTGATTAAGGCAATAGCTGACAATTTCTGTAGAAACAGATGTGAAACATTTGATTTTAATGTACTTAGGTCTTGAATACTTTTACATTACTTGAAGCTTTACTTGTTTCAACCTCTTTATGTCAGTATATTTTCTGTTACAAATTTTATAAATGTCTCATATAATAAATATTTCATATTGTCTCAATTTAATTATTATGCTTCTAGGTCTCTTCAATTGCCAGAATAAGGTCCTTGTAGGGTATGATGTATTTTTCGAGATGAGACTTCATCGCCGAAATGGATTATCACCCGAGCAGTCGATACAGATCCTATTTGAGAAACTGTCGAAGACTTCTCGTGTATCTGATATTGATATTGAAAAAGAGGACGAAAAGATCAACTACCTATCAAGGGTGATTTATAATGGTTTCTATGCATTTGAAGCTCTCTCACCACGGAATCTAGATGAAAGTCTGTGCGGTATATGTGGCAACATTCCTGTAATGCTCATTGGGGATGCCAATCAAAAGGACTGCTGTAACCTTACAGAGCTAGAGGTAGCGTAATTTTAGTCTTTCATTAATTGATTTTACAGAACTGCAAACCCAAACAACCCATCATTATCTTTTATTGACTTCTTATCATGTCAGTCTCTCCAACATATGGGTCACTATTACAGTTATATATAAAATTATAAAAAAGAGTTACACCATGATCTTTATATAAACGTAATGATATATATGTACAATCGGCTTACAAAAATTGCTACATAAGATACAATATACACTCTATAGGGCTCTATAGACTCTAAAAGTTAAACTTAAGAAAATGTCTACTATAGGCCAATATACATGCTCTTGTTTTGTCACACTCTAAGATGAATTTGGCATGATCTTTAATTATTTTAATTTTGCTGTTGATGATTTCTTTCATTAGGTCGCTATAATACTGATCAGGGCTCCAAATTTGCATAAGTGATGTAGTGATTTCACTACCTAATCCTACCAAAACACTACCTAGATATTTCCATGAGTAGCTATTTTCCTTACCGTATAGAAACATAAGATAAACATTGATTATTATTCTGTGAAGGTTATGATCTGGGATAAATCTAAACACTTTTTACATAGTGCTAAATTTTTACATGTTAAATGGTAATAATATATTTTTCACTACCAGGTTTAGTCAAATAGCTACCTGGAAAAATATAAAGTAGTGAAAATCAATACCATGGTCAAAAAGTTAAGCGTGAGGCCTGCTGATTGAGATTTGTTGGTATAGTGTTTTGAAAAATATTGGTATTTGGCTTGAATAGGCAGGGCAGTAAAAGATTAAATGCAATTCATCTAAGATTTGGTTCAGTTATGATTGCTTAGTCTTATTTTGAATAATATATTTCTAAGTTTGCTGTTTTTTATCATTAAAAATTGTTTTTTCTTAAAGTCCACAGATGAGGTGTGTCAAAATGCTAGTAAACTGAATTAATTGTAAATGATTTGAATTTGTTGTGTGCAAAAGTAATGTTATCAATTAGTGGATGGAAAATACCTCTACTAAATGCTCTAATGTAAATGCATTCTGATGAAGGATAATCACAAAATGAGCAGTAAAACCTGTCTGAATGAAGAATTCTAATGAACAGCTGTATACTTGAATGCACTGCATTTTGCATTGACTCCCATTTAATAATCGAATATTGAATGGTTTTTAGTACACTCCTTTCTGTAGTGATCAGCTTTATACATTGAACACTTTTTGTGTGTCCATAGCTGTTCA